TTCTTCATTTTCATGCTTCACCCTCACACTCCCCTGAACCTTACTGTGGAGGAGGCAACCAGGTCAACTTCCTGTCCCTCGGAACTGGGTTCAAAGGCAAAAATGAGACACCAAGACCACTTCACGCATCCCTGACCATGACTTGACATAACCCTGGACGTGAAATACATAAGAGGCATTCTAGCATAACATCTCTCTTGGAGTGTATGGTGCTATTTTTATATTAGTGTAACTCTAATTGTTACTTTAACCCTTGAGAGAGATAGGTCTTTTTGAGAGTAGTCGTATCCCCACTGTACTCAGGGGAAAGTGAAGAAGGACCAAAGAGAGCAGATTTGATAGAAGCAAGAACTGCAGTTGAAAATCAGTGGCCCTTCTGGTTTTCTCCAGTGCTAAATCACGTTTTCTTCATTTTTATTTGGCCAATAAGGTAAGGCCCCACAGGAAGAGGGGGGAGTTACTATTTCATAATGGGTTAAAAACCCATTATCCCAAGTCAAGCTTGCAGGCAAGCTGATTGCCTGCCTTTTTCCAGGTCAGAATGCCCCAAAATATTTCCTTATGGTATCAACTGTAGCCAAGTCAAGTCTTCAATATTAGAGACGCTTTGAATATTTGCAGGCAGAGCAAGGTCCACAGAGGCTCAGTTAGCTGTATTTGCATGGAAACAATAGTATTAGTACATAGACAGTTCTTGTATTTGACTTTTAGAACCCAAGGAGAACAGACTTGGAATTATTTTTCTGGCTACCTTTGGGTCTGTTCACCTCCACCGCTGGAAAGGTTTCTCCAGCTCTGGCCTTGTCCTTCTCATTTCTATCCATGGACTCAGTTTCAGTTCTAAGAATAATCAGCTAATTTCATGTTTCATTGCAGCCCATAAGGAGATAGAAAATGCTTTCTCATCAAAGCAGCCCTTTTCACCCTCTCCTCTCAGGTTCATCCTGAGACCCTGCCACACCAATTCAGTTTCTCCATCTTTTAACCCAGCTTTCTCCCTGAAGCACTCCAGAGATCAGAAGATTCTACAGCCCCAGTGGTCCCTTTCATCTCCCCGTGACCCCGTCCCCAGCCCCTACTCAGCCATGGAGTGGGTTAGCAAGGCCCGGCTTCTCGCCAGCCAGCCCTGCATTCCTGAGAAGAGCTGAGTGAGGCTGGGCATGCCTGCAGAGAGTTTTCTCTTGTACACGCTCAGCGCGGTATTTTTTGATTCATGAATATTAAAGGACTTGAGATCACAAGGCCTTACCTCCTCCATCTTGCACCCTTTGAAAACATAATAGCTCTTTTATTTCATGGCACTTGACTTTGTTTATTCAGCACGATCAGGGCAGCATTCAGGCTATAGCAAGCCTGTTAAATATTTACCCATGAGGCGGATATTTATACATGAATCAGCAGCACTTATCAGCATGCAGTGCTGGAAGTCAGGTTCAGAACTCTCACAGGCTGAAAAACTACTGAGTTAAATAAAGAGTGCGGCAAGTGTCCGTTAAGAAATCAGCTCTCATTTAAAGCTATCCTTTGTAGTATCTGAAGTGCTTCACACATGGAGGCTTCCTTCCCCTGCACAGCTAAGTCATTCACAATTGAACATGACAGTGGTTGGTCCATCACATCCGAGATGCAGTGAATCTGGTTGTTTGACCATCTGGGTGTGAAGACAGTCAGGAGGAATGCTTGCCCTGCTGCTGTGTGGAAGTTGTAAAGGGAGATGAGCTGTGTAGCACTGTGCTTCCATGGTGGTCTGAGTGCTTCTGGAAGTCCTTTGCTGCTGCTATAACCTCATTGAAATCCTGACCCTGCTCACTGGTAGTCATCCCCAGTGTGTCTTTCCATTCTTGCACCCCCGCTTGGGTGCCATAGTGGTAAAGAACCCACCTGCTAATGCAGAAGATGTAAGAGACATGGGTTTGATCCTTAGGTCGGAAAGATCGACTGGAGGAGGGCAGGACAACCCACTCCAGTATTCTTGCCTAGGAAATCCCATGGACAGAGTAGCCTGGCAGGCTACAGTTCATGGGGTGGCCAAGAGTCAGACACAACTGAAGTGACTTAGCACACACACTCCCTCCCCAGGGAGGTGCATAATTCAGCAGTCGCAGCAGCCTGGACACCAGCAACAGGCTTCCCTGAATTCATATCCTAGCTGTACCATTTCCCGGTTGTGTGACTGCAGGGAAGTTTCTTCTGCTCTCTGAGCCTCAATTTCTTCACTTGTAAAATCACAGGGATGATTTCCACCTCATTGAGTTGTGGAGAGGGTTCAATTAGATAATGGGAAAGCACCTAGCGACCAGGGTTAGTTCTTGATAATAACAGAAGCAGGGTGCGGAGAGATGGCCCTGGCAGCCGAGCAGCCGGCCTTCGGGTTTCTCCAGACCTCTGCTTCTTGCTGTTATTATAGGTAATTTTTGTTTAATGGCTGTATCTCAGAAGTAGAGAGAGAGATTCAAGTTGGCTTTCCACACACAGTTTTTACTCATTGTATTCAATATAGTGAATGATTTAAAACTTATTCTGTAGTATTTTATACAGATCAAAGTCCATTGCTATCAATTCCAGGGAACTGTCCAAATCATTTGGGGGGGGGGCGGTTTATTATGCTAAAGATTGTGTCTCTAAGTAACCTGTGAGAAGCCTGGATCTTAGTATTCTGTTATGCAGATATTTCACCAAAAACCACAGGCTATAGATACTGGATTTGTTGTTCTTGTAATTTAAAATTTTCTTCTTAATCAGTTTTCCATCCTAATGGAACCATTAGACCCTTGGAGTGAGATGTGCACCCTCTGTGTACTTTTGCATACATAAGAGGAAACAGAAAGCCTTTCTCTAGTTCACAGAAAGTCACAGGAATTTTCCTAGCTTTCTTGAGTTGAGGCTAAATCTCATCTAGTGTCTACTCTGAGAGTAGCAAATGGAAATGATGTTCTTGCTAATTCTGTGCAGTTGCAGGGTGTACGTGATTCATTAATGTCATACTTAGTCAAACACTGTCTCAGAATCTTCTCAGTTGTCAGAGTTGTGCGTTTTACTTATCTTCTGAGTAGGGTAAGTCAACAGCGAATGTTTCCACTCTGTATTGAGTTACTCGCATCACCTGGAATTTTGTTTCTTGGGATTTCTCATTCCCATAAATAAACATAATATTCATTTTTACCTAAAAAAATTAATTTCAGAAATCTGTAGTCAACAGAGAGACTAGTCCTGGAGTCCTTTGGATAGTTACAGATATTGTTCCTTGTACCACAGACTCTGTGTGTGTGTGTGTGTGTGTGTGTGCGCACGCGCGCACACGCTCAGTCACTTCAGTCATGTCTGACTCTTTATGACCCTGTGGATGGTAGCCCGCTAGATTCCTCTGTCTTTGGGATTTTCCGGGCAAGAATGCTTTAGTGGGTTGCCATTTCCTCCTCCAGGGTTCTTCCTGACCTAAGTATCAAACGCGCATCTCCTGCACTGCAGACTGATTCTTTACCACTGAGCCACCAGGGAAGACCACAAACTCTAGACTGAGTCTCTCTGCTCTAAACTATTTGAGAATGATTTTCCAGACTGTTATTGTGAAATGTTTTGTTTCCATTTACAATCTCATTACAGTGGGGACTTGGATAATGAATAATCACAGCATTAAGGGATTGAGGGGTCTTTTTATATCCTGTTTGTCTTAAAGAAATGGTTTAAGGGGGTTATAGAAATATACACATTAAAATAAAATTCAAGTAAGAAAAACAAATTAGGACCAAAGAAGAGTAGGAAAAAAGATGAAATCAAGATTAAGGATGATATAAAAAATACATGCTATAAGGTTCTGAATGATTTTCTTAATAATTCTATGCCAGTTAATTTAAGCTGAAAAGAGAATCTCCAGGAAAGTTCTGGAAACTGTTTCGAGATCAGCAGTGTGTCTTAGTGCTTGGATTGATGATTTTTTATTGTCCCTTCTTGTTTAGATGAATCGAATATCAGTGTTGACTGTGATTAGTTACACACTTTCTACCCATATTGGCCCACAGACTCCAGAACAGTATTTCAGAAAATGCTTAACTGCTTAACACCATTTAAAAATTGAGAGCTTAAATCATCTGGATTTCTGGCTTCAGTTGAAAAATTAGGATCTGATAAGACCAGGTGTGTGTTCCTTCATATTAGAAACCAGCTGAGGCTGAGCAATGGGAGCCCTTCCCACTGTGTGCAAAATCTCCAGTCCCTACCTGGTTCTCTGCACTCATTTACAAAACCTGCCTGGGCTGCCTAACCCCCAGGAGACTGCATCCCCTTCTCTCGACACCTACTTCACATGGCTCAGTGGTAAAGAATCTACCTGTAATGCAGGAGACGTGAGTTCGATCCCTTGGTTGGGAAGATCCCCTGGAGAAGGAAATGGCAACCCACTCCAGTATTCTTGCCTGGAAAACCCCATGGCCAGAGGAGCCTGGCAGGCTACAATCCATGGGGGTGCAAAAGAGACACGACTGAGTGACTTTTTCTCACTTCAGTCACAAGAATGAGAAAACTAAATTCCAAAGAGGCTGCTCAAGGCAGCCAAGCCAGTGAGCTGCAGAACTAGTCCCTTTGGTTCTCTATAACACTGGCACATCACTTCAGTATTTAATGAATGACATATCTTTGCTTGGATCAATTGTGAATTGGGCATAATCAAGAGTATAAAAGTCTGTGTTTCAGTAACAGGTATAACCCATTCGTGTTGGTAAGACATTTATCTGTGCCAGTCAAAATTTGCTTATCTGTTCTTTTGTGATAGGATCATGAGTTATTTATCGTTAGTTGTTAGTTATGTGTAATGTGAACATGCTGCTGTAACAAAATGGATTAAAATATAGAAATGGAATCATAAAGTGAAGCACCTAGTTTCACCATCATTGATTCAGGCAGTTGGTGGGCAGACTTGGACAAGAGAAACCAAGTGTGTTGGGAATGTCTCCTAAGTTGCTTGAGCCCTAAGAGATGTATCCACTATACTCTTGTCCTTTCAGTGCTCTTGGCGGCTCCTCGGCTCTTCACATCCCAGCTTTTCCAGGAGGAGGCTGTCTCATTGATTATGTTCCCCAAGTGTGCCACCTGCTCACCAACAAGGTAAAAGCAAGTCCCCTGCCTCCCCAGCCTTGTAAGGCTCCTTCATCCAGTGTCATTTCCACAGCGTCATGGTGCAAGACACCATCCTCTCCACCCCATCTTAGTTTCAACCTCCATCTGACATGGCCTTCCTGCTATGAATTAGATTTCATCAGTTTCTCTCCCACTTTGTTTGCCCTCCTTCCTTTTCTAAGGATTCTGACCTCCCTGTTCCAGTCTTATCTTCATCTTTTTTTTTAAATTGGAGGATAATTGCTTTACAATGTGTTGTTTTCTACCATACAAAAGCTGGAATCAGCCATAAGTGTATGTATGTCCCCTACCTCAAGAACCTCCCTCCCGGCTCCCCCGCTTACTCACTCCTCTGGGTTGTCATAGGCACTGGGTTAAGCTCCGTGTGTTGTATAGCAGTTTCCCACTAGCTATCTGTTTACATGTGGTAATGCATGTGTTTCAATGCTACTCTCTCAGTTGGCCTCCCTCTCCTCTCACTGTGTCCACAAGTCTGTTCTCTATGTCTGTGTCTCTATTCCTGCCCTGCAAATAGGTGCCTCAGTACCATTTTTCTAGATTTCATATATATGCATTAATATGCAATACTTGTTTTTCTGACTTACTTTACTCTGTATAACAGGCTCTAGGTTCTTCTACTTTACTAGAACTGACTCAAATGTGTTCCTTTTTATGGCTGAGTAATATTCCATTGTATATGTATACCATAACTTCTTTATCCATTCAGCTGTTGATGGACATCTAGGTTGCTTCCATGTCTTGGCTATTCTAAATAGTACTGCAGTGAACATTGGGGTACATGTGTCTTTTTCAATTATGGTTTTCTCAGGGTATCTGCCCATTAGTGGGGATGCTGGATCATATGGTAATTTTATTCCTAGTTTTTTAAGGAATCTCCATACTGTTCTCCATGGTGGCAGTATCAATTTACATTGCCACCAACAGCGCAAAAAGGGTTCTCTTTTCTTCGTACCGTCTCCAGCATTTATTATTTGTGGATTTTTTTTTATGATGGCCATTCTAACCAGTGTGAGGTGATACCTTATTGTAGTTTTGATTTGCATTTCTCCAATAATGAGTGATGTTGAGCATTTTTAATGTGTTCATCGGCCATCTGTATGTCTTCTCTGAAGAACTGTCTGCTTAGGTTCTTCATCTTTTAAACTTTTATCTTCTCATTCTTGAATTTCCGTTATGCCCTAAGTTTTTGCTTCTTCTTATGGTTTAAACCTTCTTATGGTTTAAAAATTTTGAACTCTTTCATTTCCCAATTATTATGTGTGTATGTGTTTGCCACTAGTTAATATCACAGTGATTCTGTCGAGCAGCTCTCATCTCTTTCTGCTTTTCTGTACAGCATGTTTTAATAGTTGGTTCCTGATTCTTCCTGTCATGCCCAGGAACAGTTTGCCAAAGTCTTGCTTGTTGGGACAGGATTTCCAGGTTAGCTTGGCTTATAGCCAGATTATAGCCAGATTATCTAAAGCTTTCCCTTAGCTGCGTTAGTGAGCCTTTACACTGGCAAGTGACTAAGCTTACACTATTGGGTCTTATCAGGTATTTCTGCAAGTATAGAATATACTTGTTAATGTCCAGCCAGTTTATTTAGCTAAAAACTGGAGCTATTAGTCCACAGACAATACTGACTTTCTTTCTTCTCCCACATGGACTTAGTTTGCTTAATTCCACAAATCCTATTTTCTTTGCTTCTGTTGACTTGTTCACAATGGCTTGGAAAATAAATCTTTTGTTTGTCTCTTTCATTCAAAAGATAGCTCATCTCTGTATAGAAAATACTTTAGAAATATAATAATATTTCAAAGTCTTCAGTATTATTTTTTAAATGTCAAAGGAACTAAAATCTGGCAACTCTGCAGTCTGTAGGCTTGGCACAGATTCTAGGGCATTTAACTCTCACGGCGTGGTTGCTGTTCATTGGACCAGATTCCCCCAGGCCCTGCCCTCCCACAAAACTGATCCGAGGACAGCATTCTTACTTACAGTGTAGGTTTTACACTGCCTTCAAATCTGTGTCCCAGTATCATAGAGAAAAATCCAAATTTGGTCTTCCAGAACTGAGAAGAAAAGCCTTTTTAAAGCTCTCCAATTGAGATTAATTTCTAGTCATACATTCTCCTCAAAAAAAATTGTAATACCATTTTCCCAGAAATACAAGAATCAGTCAGTTTTTCTTATCTGGTTCCCTTTCATTAATTTCACTTGTGTTTCAAAATTGATGTTCTTCTGCTTGCTACAAATGAGGACAGTATGGGCTGCTTTTAGAAACAATCTCTTCAAATGAATTTCCATAATTGCATTGGAATCTATCTTTATAGCCAGTTTTGTTGTGGGTTTCTGTTAAAATGGTTTTCTGTTTTTAAAATCAAGTATACAGAACTGTTTTCATCCCCTTTTTAAACAAAGCCACTTAAGCAAACTTATCATCTGTTTTTCTTTCCCCAAAATAACATTTTTGATCCTGCCTTAAGCCTGCAAAGCAAGCACTGTTTTTATAAGTTGACATAAAACCCCTATTATATAAATAGAATTGTTTTACTTTTAAAGGGTACAAATGGCTATCAGTACCAATTGTGTCAAGGTTATTTCAAGCACTTTATCTTGAGCTTTTGTTATGCATGGAGACTCTGTGTGGCTACAGCCAATATAAACTATTTGGGGGGTCTTTTTATCCCACTGTTTCTTTCAGCCATTATAAAGACATTTTATAAGGAATGTATTTCTGCATTAGAAACTGATGGATAAATGACTACGTTTCAGATGCCTAGCTTAATGAGTTCACGATTTTTTTTTTATAGAAACTGTCACTTGGTGTTAAGAAGGAAATATAAAAAGGCAAAATAAAATTGTCTGTTGTAACACTCCTTATTCTGAATGTTACAAACCTAAAAAGAAATAATTGAGCATTACTGTCCTTTTCAATAGGACTTCTAGTTCGAGATAACCAAATAGACCCATTTGATGAGAGGAAACTCTTCTTTATGGAGAATGCCAGCTGTTAAATGAGATAGAATGAGAAAATACAAACATACCATTTTTCAGGCCTCAGTTGAAGTAATTGATTCAGGCAAGGATACTTAAACAGATACTAAAACCACTAAGGAACTTGATCTTCCCATGCTTCAAGGAGTGTACCCCTGGATTACTCACTCTGGCAAAAGGGAACCATTCCCTTACAGTACTGTGATCTGGCTGACATCACCTTAACCAGTGATCAAACTCAGTATCACCTGGGAAGTTTTCTTGCCAAAAGTGTTTAACCTGGATCTAATCACACCTTTAGCTCTAACTTCCAATTCATAGGAAATACAGAAGGTAGAGAAAAAAGGAAGGAAACCATCGGAGAGTCTAGAGTGCAGGATAAGACAGCCCAGTCTCTGAAAAGTCAGTATTAGGCTCACACACTCACATCCCAGGAGGTACTATTATTCTATAGTAAAAGACTTTCTAGATTAAATGCCTGATCCCTGTTTATATCCTTGCTTTTTTTCAAATGTATTTTGGGGACAGTTGGGAAGTTTGGAAAATTGTCAGGGTACTAAATAAATTCAGAGAATTAATTACTAAATTTTGTTGAGTGTGATCACAGTATTGTGATTGTGTAGGAAGCTGTCTTGTTTTTCAGAGATGCATGCTGAAGTGTTCAGGGGCACACTGACATGATGTCTCTAATTTCCTCTGAAACATTTCAGCAAGATTGATTGACAGGTTGATAGATAGGTAGATGGCTAGATAAAGCAACTAGACAAAATATTCACAGTTATTGAAGATAGGTGTGGGAATATGGGTGTTCATTTGACTATTCTTTCTACTTCTGTGAATCTTGGATATTTTACGTGATAAAGCATTTAATAATTCCCTACTGTACTCAGCTGTGGGTTTGTATTCTAGGTGCAGTATGTGATTCAAGGCTATCACAAAAGAAGAGAATATATTGCTGCCTTCCTCAGCCACTTTGGCACGTAAGTTCTTCATTAAGACCTTAAATCAGTGATGCCCTCACATCCTGGTGACCCTAAGGGGAGGGCTCAATGAAGAAAATAGCACTTAGTTCTTCTATGTGATACCTTTCAGTGCTATTTTGGTTCTTCCTGGTGTGTTACTCACACTAACACTCCCAGAAAGACATTTTTTTCAGCATTGTTTGGCAAATAGAGTCAAATATCTTCCCTGGAGCAGCCACGTAACTAGCCCCAAACACCACAGTAAAAGTGGTTGTCACACCTGCTTCTTCTTGTGCTCTTTACAGTCTACACAGCACTTTCACCTCCGTCATCTCATAGTGGTCATGAGGTGAGCCAGGTGGGCATTCCTGGCACATTCCACGAAAGCAAGCCTATAAAACTTGACCAGTTCAGTCACCTGTGGAATTCTCAGAGAGAGCTGGGGCAAGAACCCTGTTCCTCAGAACTCAGGTCTCCTGACAGGACTCCCACTCCCCACAGGGCCGCAGAGATTCAGGAAGGAAATCTGACTTTAGACCCCAGCGCCATGACTCACACTTGGGATTAGTATGTTGGAAGAAGGCCCTGCGAGGGAGGAGGGCAGTGTGTAGCTGCAGTTCCAGGGTGGGCGTCTCCTCTGGCCACCCACCCTGTACTCTGGCCCTTTCCTTCATGTGGCCCCTGCTGGCTGCTCTGCAGCTGTTTCCTTAATGGTGGCAGAGCCCTTATCAACCTCCCACTCAGGGCTTAGCTTGCAGGGTGGTGGGTGGTTGCATTTTCCTCACAGTCTCTTTAAAAGGTGGAGCACACTCTGCCTCAGCACTAAGCATTTTAGTGCTCTCGTTACCTCCCACCTCATTCCAGAGAAGGTGGGTATATTAAAATTTTAAATCAGTAACTGAAGAAATTAAGATAAAAGGAATGAGAAGATGAAATCAAGAATAAGGTTGGGATATAATTTTACAAATGTGGCATAATTAAAAGAAAATTTCTGACTCCTCAAGACAATTTTAAGAAATGTTCTCATTATCCATTGTGGAATTTCTCATATCGCCAAAATAGAGTAACAATATCTAAACAGCATAACTGTTAATGAGTCATGAGTCTCTTAACACTTAAGGTGTTTTTCAGCTTTCTTTATGAGCATTTTGAGAAAGTACTTATTATATGAACAGTGCTTAATAAATAACTCTGTTAGTCTTCTCATTTTTGAGTAAGATTATTTTTTGTGTATGTTACTGGAAATGAAGGTGTTAGCCCAGTGACCTGCAAAGCAGGGTGCGTGTACCTCAGAGGCATGTGCCTCCCCTCACTTCATTGGTATTCAAGAAAAGGGTGAAAAATTGCATTTACACTTGTTAACAATTGTTTTTAAATCTCATTCTATGTGTGTACATTTTTGTGTTTTATTACACATATAATATAGTAGTAGTTGTCTACAACTACAAAATCATATACAAATACTACTATATACTGTACTGTATGCATAATGAGAAGGATTCTGTCAGTGCTTGTTTTTGCTTATGGGGTGCAGGGTCTAAAAAGTTTAGATATCAGTGTTGTAATATTGACTAAATTACATATCCATAAAAGAAATACAAACTGATGAATAAAGTTGTTGACTTGTCAGCAGACTTTAATGATGTGTCAGCAGTCTTTGAGCAAATCATTCAACCTGCGGTGCCTCAGTTCCTTTACCTTCACAGTGGGGTCAACTGTTGCTTCCTCCTTAAACCTAGAGGCCATCAGTATTAATGGTCTCTTTAGCCTGACTCAGCCAGGGAGAACGCATTTCTAAGGACAGCAAAGGTCTCCTTGTATGGATGAGAGAGAAAGTTATACTTGTCCTCTCTGTGTGGTTAATATTGGTACATTATGGTGGTGTCACCCCCTGTACACTCAGCTCCAGAGGGAAATGGGGGAGAGGAGCCCATCAGAATTCAGTCTAGGCCCTTCTGTGTTCGGGGACTGTTCTCCTTTGACACAGGAGGTGTGCCTCTCCCATCTGAACCCCACGTCCACCCTGCTAACGTTGCTACTTTGTCTTGAGCCCAGTGCGGAAGATCAGGGGACACAAGAGAAAGGATGCCAAGTACTTTGGAAGATAGTCATCTATAATCCTGAACTTAGTCATACTGTCATTGCTTGTGACTGTTCAGTACCTGAATGAAAGTGAGACTGGACAGTCACTGTATAGACCCTGGGGTCTTTGCTGCCCTGACTTCTTCATTTGTCCTTTTGCTCATCACTGGTGACTAACATTTGCATAGTATTTTGTGGATTGTTATTGTTGTTCTGTCACTAAGTCATGTCCAACTCTCTGCAACCCCATGATCTGTAGCATGCCAGGCTTCCCTGTCCTTCACCATCTCCTGGAGTTTGCTCAAACTCATGTCCACTGAGTCAGTGATACCATCTAACCATTTTATGGGTGGCCTTACTTGTTTTTCACAACTCCATGATGAAATTTGCACATGTGATTATATTTGTTTTACAGATAAGGAAACTGAGGCTCCAAAGGCTAAGTGATTTGCCAGAGGTCATAATAGATGGTAAAGCTGTAACTCAAACCTAGATGCTTTCATTCCAAATCCCACATCCTTCCTGTGGTAACACTCACTTGTCTTAAATGTATCTCGGATTCAATAACCTTGCTTTATGAATATATTCTTTACTTGGTTCCATCTCTTTGATACCTTGTTTTTATGAGAGTTTTTTGTCTGTGTGTGTTTTTATTACTTAGGGGTGTCGTGGAATATGATGCAGAAGGCTTTACAAAACTCACTCTGTTGCTGATGTGGAAAGATTTTTGTTTCCTTGTACACAGTGAGTATACTTTTGCTATTAGCATGTCAACATACATTTTTGAATGCACTAAACCACATGTAATAATGAATATAACAGCCTTTAGTGTCCTGACTTGGTTCGTTTTACTTTAGCATAAGTGTATTTACTGCATGATCTCAACCAGGTATAATTTGCTACTTGGGGGATGTTTGGTAATGTCCGGAAACATTTTTGTTTGTCATGATGGTTAGGGGATCAGGGGTGGCTTTGTTGTTACTGGCATCAGTGGGTAGAGGTCAGAGATGCTGTTAAACATCCTACAGTACATAGGACAGGTCCCTAAAGCAAAAAGTTATTGAGTCCACAGTGTCAGTAGTGCTGAATTTAAGAAACCCTATCCTAGAGAGGGATCTTTCCCAGTGGCGCTAGTGGTAAAGAACCCGCCTGTTAATGCAGGAGACGTAAGAGAGGCAGGTTCGATCCCTGGGTCAGGAAGATCCCCTGGAGGAGGGCATGGCCACGCACTCCAGTATTCTTGCCTGGAGAATGCCCTGAACCTGGTGGGCTACAGTCCATAGGGTTGCAAAGAATCAGACACGACTGCAGCAACTTAGCATGCATGGATCCTAAAGAGAGTTCTAAGTACCTTTCCAGATTCAGACCTCAAAACTTTCAAGATTACTCACAGTGTAGTGCCTTGATCATTTGGTTATCATTCTTACTTTTTAAGGCAGGGGTTCCCAACCTCCAATCCATGGACCAATCCCTCCTGTTAGATCAGTGATGACATTAAATTAGAAATACAGCACACAATAAATGTAATGCACTTGAATCATCCCCAAACCATGTCCTTCCTGTCCCCAGTCCATGGAAAAATTGCCTTCTATGAAACTGGCCCCTGGTGCCAAAAAAGTTGGAGACTGCTGGCTTAAGGTATTTCCCAATAATAACTGCCTTGCCAGGCAGTGCTTCATATGGAGCTCCTACTCTCTATAACTAGTCTTACATGGGAGCATCATTTCAAATGCATCTGAAAAGTGCAAGCATATTGTCTACATTAATTATATGCACAGAAAAGCAGAGTTGGAGAGGTGAAGGTTTTCATCTTGGGTTTGCCTCCAACTAATTATATGACCTTGTTCAGATTGCTGGGACAAGCCTCCCCCTGCTTTAGTCTCCTCTTAAGTCACTGGGGATCGGGTTGTTAAGTCCTATAGAGACATCAGCAGACGGAGCTTATCCTGCAATACAGGACCAGGTGGGAGAGGAAGTCCCAGTCAAGGCCTCCTGGCACTCTTCTCTTTGCTCACCATCTCTGTGGCCCTATCCAGCTGAGCTGTATACTAGTGCTTCCAGCTCTCACTTTTGATTCTGACCTTATGTATCACAGCTTTGGTTTTCTGTTCTGAGTGTTAATTCCTTTCTGAGATCTCACTTCCTATTTGCCATGTCCGCTTTGCCCCACCATCTTGATCCTGTGATTCTGTGATTCTGTTTCTAGCTTGATAATCTGATCCCAGGTCCTGAGTGTATGCTTGGTTTGTCTTTCATGACCCTGGACAGCTGCCTGGGAGATTAGTCTGGTGTGTTTCCTCTAGGCTGGCTCAGCAAGAGGGGTCTGTAACCTGCCACGAATGGTGGTGGCTGTGGGCAGAGGCCTCTCAGAGGAGCTGTGAGAGAAGGACACAGAAGGAAGGACACATGGAGAGACATTTAGAAACAGTAAATTAGATGACTGCTTCAATCAGTTTTTTCATCCCAAAGTGTCATGAAATCTCAAGTCTTTCTGGAAACTTACTTTGGTCTCCTGGCCATGATTCCACTTTCAAAAAAGATGTTGTTCAGTTGCTAAGTTGTATGTATCCAGCTCTTTGCAACCCAGGCTTCCCTGTCCTTTACAATCTCCCAAAGTTTGCCCAGACTCATGTCCACTGAGTCTTTGATGCCATCCAACCGTCTTCTCCTCTGTTACCTCCTTCTCCACCTGCCTTCATTCTTTCCCAGCATCAGTCTTTTCCAGTAAGTCAGCTCTTCCCATCAGGTGACCAAAGTATTAGAGCTTTAGCTTCAGCATCAGTCCTTTCAATGAATATTCAGGGTTGATTTCCTTTAGGATTGACTGATTTGATCTCCTTGTAGTCCAAGGGACACTGAAGAGTCTTCTCCAGCACCAAAGTTCGAAAGTATAAATTCTTTGGCACTCAGCCTTCTTTATGGTCCAACTTTCACATCTGTACATGACTACTGGAAAAAGCATAGCTTTAACTATACAGATTTGTCAACAAAGTGATGTCTCTGCTTTTTAACATGCTCTCTAGGTTTGTCATAGCTTTTCTTCCAAGGAGCATCATCAAAAAAGATGATGTCAGGTCATATCAGATACATGGAAAAAATAAACCCTTGGCACTGATCTTTCTCGCTGTTTTTTCCACATGGGACTCAAGGATGGCTGCTATGGTGGTGCTGGCAGGAGAGGTGTTCAGAGATAAAAGAGCGTCCACCTCTCAGTTCCTGTTAGCTGTCTTCTCAGTGTGCTCACTGTTAAGCAATTCTTGTTCCTTAGGAAGGTCTGTTCCCCAAAGAATATTTTCTGCATGGTACAGTGTCCAGTTTCTTACAGCTCCTTCTCTACCTTCCTTTGTCAGATGTGCAGAATTAAGTCCCAGAGTCATATTTTCAAAGTTACAGTTTCATTTAGTTTTGATTACTTCTTCAGGAACATAGAACCCCCAGACACTCATTAGAGCAGGTACAGGGACCTCGAGGTTTGTTTAATTAACTCTTTCCAAAGTGTTTCCTCAGGCTGTTACTCCTTTCTTTCCCAGCCCATTTGCTCCCTGCTCTTAGCATCATGGCCACATTCTCAGCTCTTTGGCAGATAAGATCTTATGCAGAAAAGGGACAGAATCAAGGGACTTTGATGCTATTTACTACTCCATCATTAACTCACAACCTGTCTTTAAATAAATTATTTCCACCCTTTTTCTTCTTACATCTAAAATGTAGGACTTGCTACATCATCAGACTGAAACTTGGTTGTTCAGTCGCTAAGTCCTGTCCTACTCTCTGTGACCCTATGGACTGCAGCACACCAAGCTTGATTAGGTAATGCATTTTATTCAGTCATACTGTTAAGCATCTGAATCTTACCTTCTTTGGGAAACACCTGCTTGCTAGGTTATAACCCACAAGGGACCACTTGTTGCTTTTGTTCTTGCTGTGAAGATGGGAGTTGAATATGGAGTGGCAGAGACTTAATGATAGAACATTGCAGTGAATTATTCTGAGACCCCAAGAACATGAAAAGAAAGAAGTGCCTAGAGATGGAGCCAGTTTTCTGTGGCTGGCTCACTACTCCATGGAGATTGAAGAGCTGGCAGAACACGAAATAATGTCTCTGATCTCCCCCACCCTCTCTTCTGCCCAGGCCTGAGAAGAAGACTTTTGAGAGGATAGGTGCTGGCAGTAATTCTGAGCCTTTTGGATGCTACAGGAAAGAGGCACTGTTCTCTTGAGGCCAGTGGCTCTGACCTCAGCCTTTGCCAGGGTGCGGAAGCAAAAATGCCCTAGGGGAAAACATTGTACACACTCTGGGATCTCTCAGGAGACACTGCAACTTCCTGGCATTCTGGTGGTTCCAGGAGTGGGAGCTGTGGCCATGATTATGGCCAGGGAGTATTTTTATCCATTTATTCCTTCTTTCCTTCCTTCATCTAGATCAGTATATCACAAGATTTGGAACCACAGCAAGAGCAAGTACTTGCTCTCATTCAGAAACTGTTTTCAGAATGGTTTCCTGGTCACCATCTAAGAATTATCTGTAGTGGTTAAATAAGTAATTCTGTATTTGTCAAGCTGTTTGTACCTCTGGAGGTAGATGCTGCCTTTAAACCAGCAGCTTTTCAGAATGCTGGGTGACAAGGGAACCAGAGACCAAGGCATAGTAATGCAGAACAAAAGTAACCACTGGGGAAAACTGACTCTTTCATGGGCCCCTGTTAGCCACACTGGACCGAGGGCAGCTGCCTAAGGTCGCAGGGTTGCTGCTTGGAAGCGGAGGGTATTAAGATTGTAACAGAATGAGAAGCTGTCTTTTCCCATTACCTGTAATCCCTGTAAATGACCCTTTGAATCATTCAGCTTGGACCACAGGCCTTCTCTCCCCGGCAAAATACCTGTTAGACCAAATCTGACTGTTTGAGATGTTGGATTTCGTTTCTTCTCTATGCCCAACCCAATCAGGTTAGCCCAGTGCAGCTGAGTTCTGCGTCTGTGGAGAACCTGCTGTGTGCAACGTCCCAGAGGATATAAGTAAATAACTCAGGCTTGACCTTAAGACAGTTGGAGTCTACACAAGGGTTGACTGCCTACAGCCTAAGGGCTAAACTCCACCCTCAGTCTATTTTTATATGGCCCTCGAGCTGAGAATGCTTTTTATGTTTTTAAAGGGTTGTTGAGGAGGGATGAGAAGAATATGCAACAAAAATGATAAAGTCTCGAATATTTACCCTTTGATTGTTTACAAACTTTGCCAACCCCTGACCTAGTTAATGAGACGAGATCAGATAATGGTGAAGTACACTGATATGCATTTTTTAAAAGCAAATATTTTGTGAGCTTGCTTACTGTATACAAGGCACAAAGTGATATGTAGCCCAGAGAAAACTTCATGTGTTTTATAGATGAGAGAAAGACACCCTCCCCAATGGAGTCTAATGAGAGAAAGAGACAATAAAGAACTAAACTAACAAATATATGTTACAAATGATGATAAATACCATAATGGAGCAAAACAGAGGGCTTTGAAAGAGCCTAAAAGGGGAGCTTTTGTTAGGATGGTCAGGGAAGTCTTCTCATAGGAGGTGACAATTCAACCAAGACCTTGATAAGCAGTTACTCAGATTCAGGGAGATTTCAGGGGTGGGGAATGTCCTTCCACAAAGAGCTACAAAAGGCAGTAAAGAGTTCTGCATGCACCCAAGTGGCTGGAGCACAGTGAGCAAGGAGAAAGTCATACAAGAGAGGATAGAAAGAGAGTC